AAATACGGTTGAGAATGAAATATGTAATCAAAACTTATTCCAAGAAACTTGCTCTCTATCAAAGACAGGTCTACGGGATAAAGAAAGTTCCAAGTACTGGAATTTTGATCCCAAACCTCCATAACTGATTGAGTTTTGCAACCTCTAAGTGCGAAGAAACGGGGAAATAATATACATATACATATATATAATGAAAAATGAAATAGACTAATTAAGAGGGAATTGGCTCAAATCCGAGGATGGCCAACCTATCTTAGGAATTAATAATTTTTATGTGTTTCCCGACATCGGACACTCACGAATATCAAAATAAAAATGAAATAGACAAGGAAATAATCAAATAAGATAAGAATGTTGAAGATTTAAAATACAAATATTGAAATGAGTATTCCTAAACCTAGAGAAGATCTCATGGAAAATCTAATATCTCTTAGTTTATTTCATAACTTATAAATAGAAGAAGATGATAAAACCCTAGTGAGTGGGCGGCCATAGTTTGCTTGGATTCAAGAAGATGAATATCAGTAGGAGGAATTCGAAGAGAAAAAACAACATAAATTGGGAGCTACCATTCGATCTGATTCTGGTAGTATTGTCGAAACTCCCCTTATTCAATTTGCCAAATTGTCGGCTGGTGTGTAAAGCATGGAACAATATGGTCTTAAGTGGTATGTTTCATCCTCCAATCTCACCTTCAAATCTACTTTTTGCCCATGTTTCTTCATATTGGGGTAAGCTCCATTGTGTAGACTTTGATCCTAAATATTTGGAAGGGATGAGCAGTGCTGAATTTAGTTTCCATCCTAAGTTTTCCTCCCGTAATACTTATGATATCTCCATTAATAATTCTTGTAATGGATTCCTCTGTTGTTCTTTTTACCATAAAACAACACGAGTTCGTGAAGTTTGCATATTAAATCCCATGACAAATGAATACTTCAAACATTTCGTCTCAAACGCGAATGAGGAGGTTAGAAGAAGGTCCTATTGTTACAAATTTGGGTTTAGTCCTAAAACAAAGCACTACAAATTAGCAAGACTATCACTTGTATGGGATAAATTTGGTAAACCTTGTACCTTGGTGGAGATTTTAAATTTTTGCACAAGTCGTAAATGGACCCCCGTTGGCTCCATCCAGGGAATGGGAAGGCATGGAGTTTACTTTGGTGGAGGCCTCTATTGGGTTGGACTAAGATTTAAGAATCTCATATACCGTTTGGATATAGAAGAGGAGAAACTCCATCAAATTTCTCTTCCCCGAAAGGATGGTTATTCTTATTTTATTGGAGTTTTTAATGGCACACTGTGTCTAACCATGTGCATCTTGGATCGTCTCGAATACCAAGTGTGGAAGATGGAAGAAGATTTTTCATGGACTAAAGCATTCGATGTGCTCGTACCAAAACAATACATGCATATGCATCATCGACAACACCTTCAACTTATTAGAGCATGTGAAGATGGAAAGATCCTGTGCTACATTGGTGGATTCAATTTAATCTTGTATGACCTTAAGACTAAGATGATGGAGTTACTGTTGAGAGGTCTAAACTTGGACTTAACAGTTCATTGGATTGACTCCTTCCATTTTGATTCTCCCTATAAGATTTTAGGAGTGGAGGTATGAAAGTTAGTTTTTATTTATTTATATATCTTTTTTAAGATTAAAGAAAATCTATGTTCTAATTTATCTAGATTGTTCCTTTGTTTCTTTTCTAAATGATTATAAATGAAATGAAAGAATAAATCAGGAATATTTCTATTATTTTGTAGGATTCTCTCTGTTTTTTTTTTTTTTTATATATTAATTTTAAAACATGCTTGGAGTTGGATCATTTATGATATATCATATAAAGATTTTCATCCGAAAAGATATTTCCTAACCGATTAGTCACAATCACGTTTTTAATAATTTTATATTTTCCAGATTGAGTTTTGACTATTTCCTAATGTATTTAATTTTTCATTTACATATTTCTTAATATAATTTTATTTACTTCTTCCTCAAGGTTTCAGTCTTTTCCACATTTGTATTATTTCCATCTTCCTTTTGCCTTTTTTTTTTTTCCAATATCGATGTATACGCATTTTTTAATTTGGAATAATATTTGTCAATATTGAAATACTCATCAATAAATTTGAGACTTTGACGTTTGATATTGAAATTTTCATATTTGCTTTAAACATAAACCAGCGTGACAGTACATTATCTTTTAAGGTGGGTTGGAAACTCGATTCGTTTTCCGAATTTTTTATGTTTTCATTGTTTTCAGATTCAGAATTTGAAATTTTTAAGGTGCAGAATTGATAAAAACTTTGATAAATATATTACTTCATATTATAAACTCATTTTACGTTTGTTAAAATTAAAACATATAAAATATAATGTATTCTAAGTTATATAACCATGTAAAATAATAATTATACAAAATTCATAAAAAAAAATGTTAATAAATTAATTAATATAAGTTGAGTTTGTAACTCCTTTTAATTTTAAAATGAATTCTCTGATTCTCAATTAATTTTTGTTTCTTTCCTCCCCTTGAAAAAAATCTCTTTTTTCTTCAGATTTTTGCTTCAATTGATGAGCTTCGTCAAACAGGCCTATATATTGACAAAAATGTAAATATTTAAGATTTTGTATACTATTTTAAAAATGGGTTAATTGTGTACTTAATAACAATAAATTTAACAGCTCAAGTTTCAGCTGGGAAATAGGAAACACACTACGAGAAAAAGCCTCATTTATAATTTACAGAAATTGTCCTTGGAGGACGTTTTAACAAAGAATAATTCATAATTGTCTATTATTAGTAATATTTACACTTTTAGATTTTTAAATTTTGAAGAAAGATTTTTGTTACTAAAATACTCTCCTTTATGATGTCTCCTAGTATCACATAGTTGTTAGTGTCATAGACACGTCAAATGCTAGTTTTAACAAATAGAATACAACGGCCGTTGGGCATATATGTCAAATATTAATTGGACAAATTGAATATAAATTCACACCGATTTGGCACATATCATTAAACACAATAATTACTTTGAATATTTGATGAAGATTTATTAGACACATGAATTAAAGTAGTCAAACTTTTTATTTATTGATTTTTTTTTTAGTACAACATGTGCGGGTGCGGGTGGGGGATCGTACTCGGAATCTCACGGTCGAAGGAACTTCATGGGATAGTGGTTGATAAAACCTTGGCGAGGACCAATGTTGTTAATGTTGTTAAATGGAACAACCAAAACCAAAAACTAAAGCTTCATTTGCCCTTTTATTCCCCTGATAATCACTTAGAAAAGAGACAAAATAAAAAGTAAAAAAAAAAAAAACAATGTTACAAACTTTCCTAGAGTGATCTAGGTAAGTTAGAAGGTAGATTTTCTCTGATCTTTAAGAAAATATATAAATAAATAAAAACTAACCTTCAAATTGCATCACTCCTGAGAGAATCAAAACGGAAGGAGTCAATCAGATGAAGTTCCCTAATTTTAAATGTTTGATCTGTAAATACCTCACACCTCTTACTCTTACTCTTAGTCTTAGGGTCATACAAGACTAAATGGAATAAAGATACTTGACGTAAGAGTATATATGTCATTTTAAATATGAATAACTTAATTGTTTCAATGGTTTCAAAATGGGAGGAGTCAACCAAATTGTTTCAAAACAATCATTTCATACACTTAAAAATGGAGATGACGTAATATAGTTGGCTATATTTGTTCCCCAACCCCAAACTATATACGTCATTTTAAATATGAATAATCTCAAACTCAAACATCTTTGTACAAGGCTACATGCCCCTCTGGGGATTCTCAAAGAAACATCATCCCTATGCAGTAGGGATCCATGTATATATCTAATCCCTAATTAATGAAGGCTAGGGTCTTGTCTGCAAGTAGCTGAACCCTCATATGCTTGAATTTCCATACTTTGGATTCCTAAGTCCTTGGCCAAGCCACCAGAAGACGACCTACTCCATACTCCAGGGTGTGAACACAAACTTAGGCCCCCAAAGGGAAAAGCCACTCTCTCCCGAGCTACCTTCACTTGACCATTACTACTCCTATTTCGATGTTTGGGCTTTTGGATCGAAGGTCGAAGGCACGAATCCCTCCCTATGTAGGGTGAAAACGTTCAAACCCAACCCACCTTGATATCTCGACCTCGATTTTCGTGTCAGATACAGGGTAAAAGTTCGACCAACGCCAGCCCCCATGTCGAGAGACGGTCTGAGAGTACTGACCTTGGACCTCGCTACCTGTTCTTAGAAGGTGACTCTTAGCTCGCTCACGCTCGTCAATCTCGCTCTCTTCTCAGCTCACTGCATACCTCACCTGGCAACTCTATACTACTGTTGTCGGGAGAATTTGCCCAGAGTTTACTGTATAGTTTACAATAATTTCTCTCAACCTTTCCCTAACGAATTACTCTACACAAGTCTCTTCAAACTCTTCGATGGATATCACGGGACATAAAAAAAATTCTAACTGAGCTCTCAGATTCTCTCTCGGCTCACCCTCACTATTTTTACGAGAAAAAAAAAATACATAAAAAGCCAGTGGCCGAACTAATAAATTATCAAGGGAGCACATACACTATTTTTAATCCAATATATGATAAATAGGGTTTGAGATCAACATTTGTTTTTTACTCTGTGGGAACCTATACTTACTTTTTTTTCCTCAAAGAATAATGTAATTTTAAAAAATATTAATGCAAATTTGAAAGTAATAACAAAATAAATGTAATTTAAATAAAAAAAATTAGATATTCAAACTATTTACAAAAGTAGGTTAAGTGTGTAATTGATGCAATTTAAGTGCCAATGCATCGTATATGAGGATATGGAGAGATAAGTCAGTAGGAGAAATAGCCTACATTTTACGTTGACTTCCATTGTACGCGATTTTCTTAAAATATTTTTTAATATATTTATATTCTATGTCTTTTTTTTATATATTTTACAACCAAAGTATTATTAATTTGCCCAATATTCTTTACCCATGCATAAAAATTCATACTCGAATATAATACTTCTTTGATAGGTTACACTTGAGAAATTAAATAAACTTAGGAATCAAATGAAACAAAAATCATCCTTCACTTCAATCATACCTTTGGTTCGCCCACTAAAATTTTGCGGAGAGAACCAAAATTGAAGGAGTCAATTTGATGAACATTCACTAAATGTTCCTTAATTTCAACATCTTCCTCTGAGTGGCTGAGTCATACAAGATTAAATGAAATCCAGCAACAAGACACAAGATCTTCCCATCTTCACAGAGTTTGATGAGTTGGAAGCCATCAAGAGGAGTACATGTATTTTTCTGGTATAGCAACAACAAATGCTTTAGCCCACGAAGAATCTTACATCTTCCACACATGGTACTCGAACTCCAATTCCATACAACAAGTTAGACAGAAGGTGCCATTAAAGACTTCAATGGCAAAGTGATCAGCATCCTAAGTTGGGGACAAGAAATTTCCTCTAATTTCTCATCTTCTATATCCAAACGTATAATGATATTTGCATCATATTTCCTCTAACCCAATAGAGGCCTCCATTGAAATAAACACCATGATCATCAATTGAGAAAGGCTCAAGGCCGACAGGGGTCCATTCCGGGCTTCGACTTGTACTGCCAAATGCAAAAATCTCTACCAAGGTAGAGCATTTGTTTTTTTGTGCTTCTCCTCCAAGACCAAAAAGAAGGGAAAAAAACATTTTTCTATTGTTTAACATGTAATCCGGACTTCCAAATTCACAAAATTATTTTATTTTATTTTTTGAGAAAATAAGAAGAAAACAACTTAACATAAAACAAATTCCAAAAAAACTAAATTGTCCAGCCGAGGGAGTTTGACAACTCCACTCTTCCCTCAAATCGTTTTGTAGATTTGTTTTTTAAAATTATTTTTAGATTCTATAAATGGGAATGGAGAAAAGGAGCGTTAAATTATATTCTTTTACGACCGTCCCATCCGAATACTAATCGTACTATATTTGGTTGTCAAGGTAATTCGTAGGATATTAAATCCTAGATAAGTAGCTACCATAGTTTGAACCTATTCCCTCTAAGCCCTTTGCTATTTACATTGGCCCTTATTGACCACTAGCTACAACAGGATGGTTTTGTATTTAGGTTTTAATAGTTAGGATTTCCTTGTTCTAATATGTAAGTGTTTTCTTATCCTAATAGGCAAGGATTTCATTTTCTTTTCTTTGTAGCTACTATTTATATTTCTTGCATCAATTCTTGTCACTAGTTTTGCATTTTCATGCGTATCAGTAACTACTACTCCTATAGTCTGTAAAAAAGTTACATTTTCTTCAACAATATAAAATAGAACATTATATTAAAATAAAAACAGATTAGTCCTAAATTTTAGAGTGTGATGCCTAAAGAAATGAGAGATTTACTATGCAAATTACTTGTTTTCTCTCCTCTTGCATCTCTCTCTCCCATAGCCTTGTGTCCAACCTGATCATTCCTTGTAACTATGGTTTATTTTCCCTTTTTCTCCCCTAAAAATTAAAAGTGCATGGTTAAGAGTAAGAAACTAGGATCCTTGGTGAATAATATAGAGGAAATAAATTCATAGATATCTCAAAAAGCAAACTTTTATCCTAGCTGTATTCAGTTGATTTCTTGTCTTGGCTTATTGAGATCTTTGCAAACCTTCTTAGCCTTCTTAGAGTTAGTAAGTTCTTTAAAGAATCCCAATAAAAAGTACCAAGCTCCAAACATGTGCCAGGACAGTTTCGTAAGATATTTAATCCCTAGGTAGGTGGCCACCATGGTTTGAACCTATTCCCTCTAGGTCATTTTCTATTTACATTCGTGCTCAAGGTCATTTTCTATTTACATTCGTGCTCAAGGTCATTTTCTATTTACATTCGTGCTCATTGACCACTAGACCATCCCAAGATGGTTTACTAATCCATACATTTTCTAACATACATATCATATTAAAACATAAAGCAAGGTGCAGTCAGAATGTAGAATAAGCTTTCATTACCTGAGCCATGCAAGTGACAAATTCTGAAGCAAAAAGTTCCTCATCAGGAATAACTGGCCCAAACTTATTATCACCTGGGATGTCCTTGGCCAGGAAGATGCCAGCAAAACCAGCAGATTTCCTAGCTTCCAAGTTCCAAATCATCTATGGAACATATGCACGCATGAGGTTTCTAGCTCAGAATCAAAGCAGCATCCAGACCATGAGGAGATAATTGAAACATGTTATTCTGGAGATATATACCAGATATTAGTTCGTTATACATGTATTTGGTTCATTGCAATATATAAACTGATACATATTTACATACCTGAAGTCTTACAGAAAGATGAACTTCAGAAGAGCCGACAACTGTCCCATGTCTTTTGATTAAATAGTCCTAACTTCCAATGACATGTGGCCATTGAAATGATTTTACGGCAGAGAGAAGTGACAATGATACTCTCTCCAAGGTTATGCCTCTCCATCTCAAGAGAAACCCAAAGATAAAATTTAAAGAAGAATCTTAGAGTCAAAGGTTTGCGGAACTCCACCGTACCTCCTGGAGCATTTTCCTGCAGCGAAATATCTTCTTCTAAGACTTTTAATGCATCCTTGAGTAGCACTCGATCCCAAATTTTCCCAATTAGATATTTTTAGTCTTTTTTGTTGAAAGTAATAATGGAGCAACCCCACCATAAACAATGGATGCATCCGAAACAAACCAATTTTTATCTTCTTCCTTGAGAAAGACACATATACCAGCATTTACATGTCATCGTCTCGCCTGTGAGCCTGTTTAAACTCTTTCACATACTCAAAAATCCTACTCCACGGCAAGAATATAGAGAGTAATAATTTATCATTTGCCAAATCCACTTTACGGTAACCCAGGAAAAAAAATTCAGCCAATGTTGTTTTAATCTTTCCCTTGCAATTAATAATTCTGAACTTTGCTCTTGAAGCTATCGACACAGATTTCCTACAAAGCATTTTTCAATTTGCTCTCCAGTCTTCACTAGGTGGACTTTTACTTGACCTTAATAATGCATATATGGACATGATAAGGCCAGGAGTACAAAATCCACACTGTGAACCATGTCAACTTGCCAATGCCTCCTGCAATGAATTCATTTAGAAAAAGTTGACGGTTTGATTCATAAAACTGCAATTATATGACCATGGCAAGCTTGAAGTCTTCTTTGTTATCCTCTACCCTCTCTAGTGTGACTGAGATATAAGGCTTAGGGTCCTAGTCAACTTTTATATACAGTTTTAAACCCAATAAGATCAAGATTGCCATCAAAAGAGAAAAATAAGATCCAGAATTTCAAATGAAATGGGATAAAAGGATCAGAGTCTTCACAATTTAGTACAACTGAGTTGAAATTTTATCACCAGAATCACAGCCTAATGGGATACTAAATGACAACATAAATAAGTAAAGTACCTGATAATAAAGAATCTGAAAAGTGGCATATATTACATGAATTGGAAGCAATCCACGTTTATGACCACTCAGACCCTCAACTGTTATTGCATACATCTCTTCTACAGAATACACAGGAGCCAAGCAAGCATTAACATCATAGTGCCTGAAATAAGATAGTATATATTCAAGGTTTAGTTTGATAAAACTTCAATTGCAATATATTTCAGAAAATATACATGAAAGAAACCAAGCAGAGACACACGCAGTTATTTAAATTTGGATCATAATTAGAAACCATAACAGTGCATGCTCCACAGCCACCTTTGCCACAATCAAGCTTCGTCCTAGTCAAACCAGAGTAGAAAGAAAGAAAATCCAATTTCAAAATCCTCAGCAAGACTAAAAGTGAGGCTTGACACAGTAAGTTAACTGAAGACCTTGCTCAAGTTTAGGATGACTTTTACTTTTTCAAACGAAGCATTTCTCCAATAACCACTTTTAGAAGAAACAGTAAGAAAAACGACAAAACGTTTTAAGAAAGGGTTTCTTAAATGACGTTTAATAATCATTAATCTATCTAAACTGTATAAAATTATTGAAAAGTGTATTTAATGAGTTAGGCACTCCTCACCTTTCTAACCGTTATTTTAAACTCACCCTACTTCTGGGTGGTTTCTCTAAAATCAAATGCAAAAAATTGATTACTTTACACTTCTTAACCAACCATAAAAGGAGCTTTTAATCCAATTTTTTATCTGATACCAAATTCAAACTCAAATAGCTATCTTAAAACTAAATTAAAAAATAGTGATAAATTCAAAATGCTGAAGAACGAACATATAATTATAAGCCCAACTCAGAGAGCAAGCTGATCAACAGATTGCATCAAACCAATGTATATAAACAGACACTTGGTGGGCATACAGTACTTAATCCCTTGGAAACGATACATGAGAACCATTGATCGAGCAAATTACTCTACACCGCCAAGACAAAAACTCTACCAAGCTTATTAAGACCAAAAACAAAACAAACGAAAAAAATCCCTTTGCCTCTAAGATATTCAAGAAGAGTCAAATGGGCTAATCCATTAGGAAGGACTCACCCATATTACTCTCTATCTAACCCAGAGGATTCAATGGTCAACCAATTCGATCCAACTACATCCCGCCATTTTCTTCAACCCTCTACTTCTCATGGTGTCTCTCACTTCATTAGCATCCTTCCATCTGTCACAACTTGCATAAGTATTTGACAACAAAGCCAAAGTTCCCACTGTCACCCCCTTGCTTCTAGTTCTAACCAGCCATTCCCTAACCTTCTCATACTTCTTCTCATTCCCATGAATCTGGCAAGCATTCAGCAGAGCTCCCCATACTGGGCCTTCTGCTTCCACAGGCATCTCCTTCATGAATGCCTCTGCTTCATCTAAAAGTCCAGCCCTTCCATACATGTCCACCATGCAGCCATAATGCCTCATCTGAGGTGCAACATTATAAACATCTTTCATGGCTTTAAACACCATCAAGCCTTGATTGATCAGCCCACCATGGCTGCATCCAGATAACAGGCCAAGAAATGTTATGTCGTCTGGAGAAACGCCATGAACTAGCATGAGTGAGAACAGAACAAAAGCTTGCTTGCCTAGGCCATTCATGGCTAACCCAGTTATGACTGTGCTGCATGATATGATATCCCTGTGTTCAACAGTTTTGAAGATCCTAACTGCCATTTCCATGCTACCACATTTGACATACATGTTTATTAAAGCATTTCCGATATTTCCATTAAGTATCACATCAGGCCTAGAGATGATATAGGAATGAATCCATTGACCCAAATTCAGAGCAGACATGGAAGAACAAGCAGATAATACATTAATGAGAGTGGCCTCATTGGGCTCAGCCTCTCCCTCTTGGACCATGTTTTGGAAGATCCTCACAGCCTCTTCACACAATCCACTCTGAGCATAACCCCCAATTATTGTAGTCCATGACACTACGTCTCTATTAGGCATTTTAACAAACAGGTTCTCTGCACTCCTCAAGGACCCACATTTGACGTAGAAGTCCAGAAGGGCATTGTCCAAACTAACGCTTTCCTCATCCACACTCCGCAATCTCAGCCCATGTATAGCTTTCCCAAGCTTGAGATATCCAAGACTAGAACAAGCAGATAAAGCAGTGACAAGAGTAGCAGAATTAGGCCTCACATTCATAGACAAGAACTTAACTAGAGCTTCCTCCTCAAAACCCAGCTTGGAGAGCCCCGAAATGATGGATGTCCAGGAAACCACATCTGGGTCAGGCATGGACGCGAAGATTCGAGAAGCAGAAGGAACATCGCCATCGACAATGTAGAAATGGAGCAGTGAATTTTGGATGAAGATGTCGGAAAGGTGGCCAGATTTAACTAGATGGCCGTGGATTTCGAGGCCCTTGTGGGTTTGATGGAGCGAGGAACAGGCTTTGAGGGCGTAGGTGAAGGTGTAGTGGTTGTGGGAAGATGAAGATGGGTGGCGAAGCATTTGGTTGTAGAGGAAGAGGCCATTTTCAGGAGCGATGGAAGCTACAAAAGCGCCGAGGAAAGGGTTGAAGTTGAGAGGGTTCGGATTTGTGACGAGTTGGGCGTGGATCTGGGCAAGTTGAGCGATCGAAATTGAGGGTTTTCGAGGTTTTAATAGCATGCTATGATCCTTCCTCGCAAAGGGTTGTCTGCAAACTGTATTTACCAACTATATTGAGCAGTTGAGACAAATTCTGAACATTTGGTGGCGTTGACTGGTCTCAGTCGGTGAGCTTCCACGATTGTCGCCGGATTAAGTTTGACGCCGCCACCGCCTCAGTTGTCGGGAGTTCGCTCGCCGCCGTCGCCTCAGTCGCCGGGAGAAATGGAAGGAAGCAGTTGGAAACTTTTTTTTTTTTTCCTTTTTTTGTATTCTAGGGAAAATTTTCTAGATCCAAACAGTACAGAAATTCTGAACAATAATATTTTTATGTTTTAATTCTTTTCATATTTTGAATTTAAAAATTTTGAAAATGTAAAATTACATTTTTCTTACTACAAAATACAAATGCATAATTACATTAAATAATATAAATATTTTGATAAATGTACTATTTCGGTTACAAACACATTTCATCTTTTTGAAAATTAAAACTATATTTTATAAATTTATATAATATTGTAAAATAATAATTATACACAATATAAATTAATTAATTAATAATATTTTTAAATTGAATTAAACATTTGGTTGGTAAAAAAACACGTTGAATAATTTTTAAAATCCAGATTCAATTTTCAATTAGACTACCAAACACATATTTGTCACTAAAAACATGGAATACAAATCTATTTTTCAAATAGCTTGTCTTTAAATTTATATTTTCATATCACCAACTATTTCATATTATATTATTGGCTAATCTACTTTTCAATTATGATAAATACTTTAAAAACCAATATTTTCAACATGATAACTATTTGGGTAGTAATTTACATATTTTTTTTAATTTGACCACAATTTCTATTCATCAACCTCTAGACATTTCTATTAATATTTTCGTCATAAAGTGGAAGATCTCACATTAACATTAGAGGTCAATTGACAAATCCTATGACATAAACATATCAATGAAGTAATAAAAAAGTCAACGAAAACCAAAAAAAAAAAAGATAACAAATATGAATATAAAAACTAATAATAAGAGTTACAATTTATTTATGAAATAAACTTTCTAAGTTATTCTATGATTTTTCTAAAAATATTCATTAATATTGATAGATACTTCATGGATATTTCCATGAGACCTCAATATTCACATCTTCATCAACATTTTAATCCCCTTTAGTAAATGGAACCTTTTTTCCATTGAAATGAAAAGAATGGGATTGAAGTATTGAACGTGTACAAAGAGGACAAATATTTTATGAATGCTACTTCTACCAATCACTATGGCTATACAAGTAATAAAGTTTTAATTAATACACCTACACACTTGAACCAACCCCAAATGCCTAAATTGGAATGATGCTTCAGACAGAATTTCTATTCTATACTTTGGTGTTGAAAGAGTTGCTAAATTTCACAAAGAATGGAGTGAATGTGAATCCATGATGCATTCTGATAGCCACATGACAGAGGCTTATCTCATTTCTTAAGTAGCCGTTCCTTGGCGGGATCTTGAGACAGTACATTGGCAGGTGTAGATCGCGTCGACTCGGACGAATGAACGAGGAGTTGCATAACAAGGATTATTAGAATCAAGAGGGCAACTGAGAATGCAATGCCCTCCCATGAGGATAGGAGTGCAGACCATTGGAAGAATTTAACAATGCCACAAACCAGGATACTTGACCAACAAATAACAACCTGTTAGAAATATCCAGGTTCAATAAGAACGGCGGAGAATGCATATAGATTATCGCGTGGTTTATTAGTCTTAATGTCAACTATACATACCACCAACGACTTTTTTGGTCGGCCGATGTTCATAGGTTGTTGATCACTGAATGAATCCTTGGTCACATACTTCTCCAATAACGTGTCCTGAAAAGTTTCCCAAGGGAGTAAATAACAAAGAGAGGGAGAGAACACAGAGAGAGTTTAAAGGCAATTGTAATTGGAAATGCACAAAGTTCAAGTTTAACTCTGTCTCATTGGGGAGCAATGACAAAATACAAGTAAAGTTTTAAAAGTACAGAAGAAAACTGAAAGGTATGTTTCTCATTCCTACTATTGGCTTCAACCAAAGCAAACAAATAATTGACTAAATAGTTGCTTATTGATGAATCAAGCTAATAGCTCAGCTGCTTCTATAATTTTATCTATGTCTCAAGACAGGAAGAAAGATTAACAACCTTTTCTATCACCTCTGAGATTCATTATTGATTGAATCTCTTTGGACTTCTTATTTCTGATTTTGTATTAGCCCGAGCTTCAAAGTTGTGTCTAATAGGTCTCTAAACTTTCAATTCTCTGTCCAAGTCCTTGAACTTTAAAAGTGCCTAACACGTCCCTAAACTTTAAATTTTGCGATCGTAGATCCTTTACCTATATATATATATATATATATATATATTTTTTTTTTTTTTAAGTCATGGACAACCTATTAAAAGGTTAGGGGCCTATTAGATATTTTAAAGTTTAGAGACTTGTCAGACATAAAGTTAAAACTTTAGGGACCTACTAGATACCTTTTAAACTTCAAGAACCTATTAAAAACAATTTTGAAAGTTTCAATAACTAAACTTGTAATTTAACCTATAATATAAATAAGTTAACATTGGTCAAGCCAAACAAAAAAATGAAAATGAAATGAAATTTTTTAACCAAGGATATAAGCTCGTTGATCTAAGTGTTTTGTAGGGTCAATGTGAACATGATTTTGAAACTAACTAGCTTCAGTTATCTCTTAAGCAATTGTTCCCCATACCTTGGTAACAAATAAATCCTTGCACCACTGTGAGATCCCATCTGCAGTTTCCGGTAATTCCTTCATTTCATGTCGCTTGACTTGCAATTTTACCTGTGGAATGGGAACACATTAGGTGCATACCTTCTTTTGTAGAAGATACAAAAACCAATCGGTTTGTTCATACGAATGTAGGGATCAATTCCAATAACAGCATCAAGTTTTAATATGCTCTTATTCTAGCACCAAAGTAATTAGCCTAATCTGGGATCAGTTCATTTCGAGTTAGGATAATATTGCTGACATAACCCATACTTACCTCTGAATCTCTGATTATTATATACTTGATAATGTTTTTTTAATGCATTAGTTCCACAGATCACATAAAACAGTCTACACCTTCCACATAGGGACTGTACTTCTGCCATGTCCAAGAGGAATTTAGTAGAATCATCTATTTGGAAGGAGACCACATCTTAAATAGCGAGCATATATTTTCTTCAAGCAATTTGTGACAGAGAAACACAACTTGACATAACACAGGCCCCAAAGGAGCAAGCAGGATGTTTTTCTAGGAAAAGTAGAGCAGATGCTGTCAATTTTTGTAAATCTTTAAGTTAGGCCGTTGTCGTTTGTAAAGTTTATGGTAGCTTTTTAATATTCGTCTTTTCAAGTTTGTTGGGTTCAAAGTTGTGTAGTTTCTCCAGTTTTCGTACCAATGTACATGTTGGTACTCTCTCATAATTTCATTTCATCAATGGAAATTTCTCTCTCCTTTAAAAATACTCCATCCATGAAGTAGATGAATTTGTAAATAATTGTTGTCTTCATGGACATGGATGGGATAAGAGAAACAATTGAAGCATTCCAGGAATGTTATATGGATTAGTCAATAATTATTATTCTATAGTTTATGTTGGCCTACCACGAACGATTGGCCTCTAAAGATCCTCAACAATGTAGGTGCGCGATCTTTGGGGGAAGTCGCCACAGTACAATTATAAATAGCTGGAACAAATGAACGCATATGGCTCACTGCTGAAACAAAACCCTGCAGAAAAACAAGGTGATTGTAAGGATAGACTTCATGCATTTATCCTCACTTTTGATTGGCAACAGTAGAGGACTATTCAATTCACCTTTGTACGAGGAATCAGAACATTTTTAGGGACAGGCAATCCTCTAGATGCAGCATATTCCTGAGATGCTAGAAGTTTTTGTTGTGTAAAACGAGTTCCCTCGACGAAAAGTGCCAACCAAAATGGCATGGGGAAATCCTCAAGCGACTGAAAACTTGACTGCAGTAAAAATCCTCGGATGTTAGAAAATGGAAGGTAAATGGAGAGACAAAATGCTTATAACTGCATTATAGATCCTCAGGTTCTTTCATTTGTTCTCAACGAAAGTTGTTTCTTCATCCAAAAAGAAAAATGCTTATGTAACTACTGTTGCTAGCGTCTAAGCTCACCTCCAGAGTACTTTCATCCTTCGCCCAGCTTCTTTCTAAAAAAATATAATCAGAGAACCACATTGACCAGCCAATGACCTGTAAAAGTAGCATGATGTCTTTTGTCAATTAGCAAACGAATCCTTAGGGAAACTCAACCAGTCTAACTGAAAGAGATATATGAACAAACTCAGCGTCTCAACATTGCAACTAAAGACTCCTGAAAATATTGGCCCAAGAGAAAATTTTGTAGCCATTGCTAAAAGTAGGGAAAATGAAGAGAACATTTAAAATAGGGAAAATTAAGAGAATCTGTAGATTATTCATGGAAACTACACCAAAAAAAGACATTCTCAGGCTCACCAAGTAAATAGGCAAAATATACCAACTATTGAATATCATTTAGAATGGTAATTAGATCCTGGAAAGGTTAATTGAGTCAATACTTATGCCTAAAATTCAATAAAAATCACAAATTTGAAAGATAGGTAGGGATAAATTCTATATTTCAAATCTTTCAAATCTAATTATCAATTACAGTGACGGCAGCAAGTCAGCAACTCATGAAATGGGTCAGAGCTGATAGATAATGCAACTTAAAGAAATACATGTATTTTTTACAGTTTCATCTAGCTAAAATGCCATATTGTTAATACTTACTGGGAGGAATTTTGCTTCTTTCTTCATAATGGCTAAGGCACTACCGAGACAACCTGCACGCTGCAATAAGAAGGGTTAATTTTGAAACAGTAATGGAAAAAGAAAAACATTTTAGCATGTCTTGCACAAGTTATAAATATATGGTCCAAGTTAAGTTCCATACCTCAGAGGTAAGAACAAAGAAAAGAATTGAATTAATGAAATAACCCACTATTGTCTTAAGCAATTCACCCCACTCCTCAATAATGTAGATTGGGCTAATCTATTTAAATTGACTATTCAAGAAAATCCTGTGAAGAAACAATATGATCATAACATAATCTACCAAGCATAATGGTAATGAAAGAAATGTCTCAAAACTATAGCACAAACCAATACCCATATGCAAGGGTGGAGCCAATTATATATAAAATACTCAAAACTTTTAGATTATGTATATAAAAAGTTAGGATGTAAAAATTTTTCCCGTCCAAGAAAATTTATGGCCCTGCCCTGCTAACTCTAGATGCAACAAATTTAAAGTACCTGGGCTAGGACCCATCCGACAAGCCAATCAATGTCACTTCGGTGGTTGCACATAACGAGTGCATGCTCTTTACCTGTAATTTTGTATGCATAAGATTGTGTTCTAGTTGCATTCATATACGTTTTCAACATTTAATTTATAATAATAAAGAAAGAGAGAGGATAGAGCTCTAGTAATTAAACATAATATCATACCCATTAATTTAAAGGTTTCTTGATCTGTATACACTTCGACCTGCAATAAGAACAAATTACCTAAGCAAACTCAAGTCACAAGAAATGGGATGCCTGATTAGAGAAATGCTCATCTATCTATGTTAATTTTAGTTGTTCAATGTTCTAAATGCATATTTCATTTACTTAATAGAAAAAGATTCATCACAAAAGAGTAACTATTTGCAAATATAGCATTAGCAAAGAGATGCATATTAAGAACCAAAACATATTTTAAAGAAACCATGAGACCTTGGCACCTGCCCACCAATCGATTAGCCAAATGAGCTCTAACCATAGCAATTCAGCAACTACTTTGTTGATTCTCCTGTATACACCCTTTGAAATGGGACGAACAAGAACAAATACAAGTGCCTGAAAGTTCAATTAAGATAAAAGAGTTTCAAATAACAAATAAGAATATAGGAAATATTAGATTCAGAATAATTGATTAATGCCAGTAGCTCGTATATCTTTAGCTTTTAGGAGTCAAATACTGTTTGAATCACTACGATCTCATCACCAAATTATCAAAAATAATAATAATAATATTAATAACAAACCATACAACAGACTTCATTAAAATTATAATTTATAGCCCTGCGAACCAGATACAAACTTCCATTCATCTTCGTGCTTAACTACAGATTCAAACAATCTATAGTTCTACGTAGTTTGCAATTAAATCAGGATTTTGATATGATCTACGGCCCACCCGAACACAGAATCAGATAGAACGCCATTCCGAGAATGATTCAACCCTTCTAATTGCAAATACGCAAATGAAAAAATCGATTCCAACCACAATAAATAATCAGGAGAAGAAACAACAAAAAGGGAATCTCCAAAAACCTGAATAAAATTGACGATGAGGCCGGAAAGGATGAAAAGAACGCCGAGAGGAACAATAACGAGCACGGCAGGGATCGCCATGGCAAAGATGAAAAAAAAAAAAGAAATAAAAAAGAGAGAAAATTGGGTTGAATAATAGAAAATGGGAGATTTTAAGGAGTTAGAAGTGCGATGGGTGCCCTTGGAAGAAGCTCCAAATTATGAACATAGTGATGGTGATCGCAGATTTTTAACTGAAACTTGCTGGCCATGGCCTGGCCTTCCTGTTTTCTGTCTTCGGTTTGCGAGAGGAAAAATATAGAAAAATTTTGATTGGTGTAATCATTTCCTTAAATATCTATAAATATTCTGCCATCAAATTACAAATTTTTTCCACACGATTTTGGCATAATTTCACTTTGCTTATGGGGAATTTTAGAAGTTTTAATTTAGTATTTAGTTTTGGACTTAGTTTCAATGGGATATTTTTGGATTTTAGAATAAATCTATACTATCTAAATTTATATTATTATTATTATGTTAAAAAGAGAGGATTTTGAAAAATTATTTTTAGATAATTATGTCTTTCATCAAATTTTATATTTACAAATATGTCACTAGTTAGTAACCAATAGTTAGTAGGTTATATATTTAATTTAAATCCAATGGTTAGAATATTAAAAGACTTTTTAAGTATCATTTACTTTATTAAAAATAATAATATGAAAATATCAATTTTTTTTTAAGTTTGACAAAATAAAAATTAGCTTCAGTATTTATTGAAATTTGTAATAAATAAAATATATATGGATATAAATTTAGCTGGGAGTAAATAAAAATTTAAGTGCATTATATAATTTATGAATGCATTAGAGTCTAAAATACTTAAATACGAAAAGTTTTACAGTTTCATTTTATAATTTGTCTAGCAATTATGAAGAAGTGAGATGTAAATTTATTAATTTAAGAAAGTTATGCATAGACACATCTTGATTTTTTTTCTTATTCTTTTGTAGTTTAGTTTCTCTCATTTTCATTATATGAAGTTATAATATAGTGGCATTTGTCTATCAAGTGAAAAATAAATCTATTTTAAGAAAATTATGAATAGACACGTCTTGATTTTCTTCTGCTATTTTTTTTCTTTTCTTTTTTTTGTTTGCTCTTTGCAATTAATTTTTTTAATAAGAAAAGTAACACGTTTATTAAATTACAATATTATATAAGGTAAATTTATATTTGTTGAATTGTTAATTCACTACTCAGCTTCACAAATATATTTCACCATAATCATTTTATGGAGAAGATTACCGACACACTCTCGAAAGTTCACTTCGATTGTGATCTACTGATGTCAAGGTTTAACCAAATTGTCCGATTCAACTATTTTAGTAATTTTATTAATGTGGAAAAATGTGCAATTCGCAACCACAAGATAATGTATTGAAAAGTTGTTTCGAAAAAGATTTATAATTTAGGGAATGAATTGGAGGTGTAGATTGTATATTACTAGTGTTACACTGCATTTAACAATTTATTTTATTAAGAATGTAATTAGTTTTATTTTAACATTTAATGAAACATAAAATAATTAGAAACCATCCACGTGGTGTAATAAAACTTGTTGATGGTTTTATCAAATTTTTACCTATTCGCTCAAATCAGCAGATGTCTTCACCAAAGTCCTTCATTCTACCCTTTTATTTTCTTTCCTGACCAATATAAGATTTGTAAATATCTATGCTTCATCTCCAGGGGAGTATTAAGAGTAGTAAAGTTGTTCCTTAAATATGTTTTTCTGTGTTATTGTACCGTACGAATTACTCAAATATTTGTATATATAAGTGTATGTTATTCTTTTTGTCGATCAAGATCGGATTTGTAAATATCTATGCTCCATCTTGAAGGAGAGTATTAAGAGTAGTTAAGTTGTTGCTTAAATATATTTTTCTATTATTCTACGAGTTACTCAAATATTTGTATATATAAGTGTTATTATTCACAGAATAATATAGAAGAGATTTTATTTTTCTCCTCTAAGTCAAGTTCAATTACTTTACCAAAATAACTCCTTGTTATTGATAATATGACAAAATTTCCTGTTGATGATAAAAATTTTCCATATCTTTTGTTGGTTGAAGGAGAAGGTGAAGCTTTTGTATGTGCTGATACATTCTTCTTTTTTATGGTCTGTACAAGTTGAGTGAGTTAGATAAATGCTGCATTTTTCACTGTTTTTTATGGTGAAGCAAGTTATTTATTTATTTAATTATAATTTATCATTTCAATTAGCCATTAATTATTTCTTTTTTAGTACAATTAGCCATTAATTTGAACAATCATGAGACTGTGGTCGATAAAACCTTGAAAGGGACAATATATGATCGTTGAATGAAAACTATGTGAACCCAAAAAGAAAAAAAAAACCTAAATTAGCTGAGTTATCCTTTTATTTCCTTTATAATCATTTAGAAAAAAATCAATGTTAAAAACTCCATTAGAGTGATCTAGGTAAAGTTGGAACATAGATTTTCTCTGATCTTAAAAAATATATAAATAAATAATAACCATTCTTCAAGCATCCCGATTAAAATCTTGAGAAGAGAATCAAAATTGAAGGAGAGTCAATCAAATAAACTTTCATAATTCTCTTAATTTTATTACGTTGGTGTGTCAATAACTTCATCAACTCTGTCTTAGGATTATACAAGATAAAATTAAATCCAACAAAAAGACACAAGATCTTTTCATCTCCACAGACCTTAATAGATAAAAGGTTAAATGTCGATGACGCAAATCTAATACTGGCCTATCAACAACATCAAATGCTTTAGTCCATGAAAAATCTTCTTCCATCATCCACACATAGTTCAGATCCTTGAAGTCCAAGTTGGTCAGACTTAAAGTCAAACAACTGAGTGAAATTAAATACTCCAATGGAACAACAATAACGGCTATGTTGGGAAAAAGAAATTTCCTGCAATTCCTCCTTTTCTATGTCCAAGCGGTATATGACATATGTATTAGGTAGCCGTAGGTGAGTTCCAACCCAATAGAGGTCTCCATTAAAGTAAACCCGCCATGACTTTCTATTATCATGGATGGAGGCAGAAAGCCAACATGGGTCCATTTGAGACTTGTGTCAAATGTGAAAATCTCCACCAAAGTAGCAAGTTTGTCCCAGATGAAGGAGAGTCTTGTTAATTTGTACTGTCTTAGAACTAAACCCAAATCCATATCCATAATAATAATAATGTCATATACCCTTATCCGCATCCGAGATGGGAGGTTTGAAGAACTCATTTGTCATGAGAGTTAATATACAAACTTTACAAGATGGTGTTTTGGTTCTTCCATAGTGAAGATAACAAGAGAGGAGTCGATTGCATGAATTGACAATGTAGATATTAACGGAGGGAAAATTAGGATATAAACTAAAGGTTTACTGCTGAGAATAGTTACACAAACTAGAAAACCCAAAAAAGGGACCCAAGAGATACTGAAAATGGGTGAAAGGAAACATAAGATTTCAGTCAAACCATGAACTGCTCGGTTTGCATCCTTGAGTATGAGTCTGAGTTTGATTTTTTCAATTAAAGCTGTGTTTCGAAAATGCTCCGGACGGGTTGGCGGTGGAAGCACGAGATTTTCGTCCGAGATAGAGACGATGCCGGAGACATCATCGACGTCGGCATCGGCGGGGGAGTGGGCTTGGACGACTCAAGACAGCATCGTCTGTTGTGGGAGGTATTGAGAAAGTCGAGGTGGAGGTTTTAATATAATTATTTTGTTTTTTTTTACCTAATTTTGAACTAACCCAATATTGAACCGTACAGCTGATCATTTTATTGTACACATGGATTTGTCACGTCACACCTTCCGTTAAATCTAACTTAATTTTTAACGGTAACGACTAAATTATAACCAGTTTTAAAGTATAGTAACTAAATCGTTATTTTGAAAGTTTAAGGACTAAATGTTATTTTGTTGGATGAAATAACAGGCGTAGAAGATGGAAAAAGATTCTTCCTGGGTTAAAGTTTTTGTCTTTTAACATTCTAGAATATTTGTTGGATCCTCTCGATGGCTTTCATCTCATCAAAGCCTGCGAAGATGGAAAGATCTTGTGTATTGTTGAATCTTGTGGGGCCCAAAAACTGAGAAGAAGGTGGAGTTATTGGCGAACAAAGATGTTGAAACTGACAAAAACATTTATTGGTTCTTCGGATCGAATCCTTCAATTTCGATTCTCTTCACAACATTTTAGCACAGACTAAAGATGGTTTTTTAGTTAGTATCTTGTAAGATCGGAGAAAATCTTTAATTTAGATATATCACTACAAGAGAGAGTTTGTAACATTGTTTTTTTTTTTGTTTCCTGGATAAATTAGCTTTAATTTTTTGTTTTGGTTGTCACAATAAAGTGGTCATAATATATGCATTATTTGATGTGCTTTTGGTTCCTTAATTTCCTTTATTTTTCTTCTTCTCATGTTTAAATTTGTGTAACTCAGTAAATAATTTTCTTTTAGATTTCTCCCATAGTTCTTGGCGTTTCTCCAGATGACATAAAATTTATTGGCCTGTTATCTGAAATCCATGGTGGGGCTAATCAATGAAGGCTTAATGATGTTGAAGATTTCTAAATTGCATACGCCAAATAGAATGTTTAATTAACTGGTAAACTGTTTTAGTTATGTCTCAAGTATTGTATATTATGATTATCTTTAGTCTATACTATTTTTTTTGTTTTCTAGAATTTGGATGAAGTGAAATTTTTGGATCAGGCTATCAAGAGATAATTATTATTTTAAAAAAAATATATTAATGATATTTTATTCAAAATTGCTTTTTTTTTTCTTTTTACTGTTAATCAACTTTTTAAGTTATTATTATTATATTTTATATTTTATATATTATTTATACTAAATTATGAATGAATTCTTCTAGGCTCGAACACTAGTTGTCTTGTAGATAAGGTGAGTACATATCCACTGTGCCAGAACTGGCTTTTAAATTTATGGATCAGTTATTTAATACATAATATATAATAATATTTTATTTTTCCTAAAAAATCAACGTCGTTATAGTAAGAAACGACCACAAATGCGTGTCAATATATGACTATCTCTTCAAGAGACGACCATGTCATGATTTTTTTTAAAAAATCAAACATGGCGCCAATAGAACGCCACGTCGTTATGGTCGTATCTTGAAGAGACGACTAATTGCTCAAATGGCATGGTCGTCTCTCAGCCAAGTGGCGTACTAATTTTAAAAATATTATTTTTTGCACGAGTTTCAAAAGAAGCATTTTTTCTTTC